CAGGGCAGGTTCAGCGCTAATTTCAAAAAGCCATCAAGATTTTCTGGGTGCAGTTTTGTCAAAGATTTAAAAGACACTTGAGCACCCTCTTGCTTGCAGACTGGTTTGCAATCATACGTGACCCTTTCAAAGACTAGTAGTGTAGTGTTCATTGCCCATTAAGTTAGATCACAGTTTATGTTCTTATCACACTTATTATAAAAGCTTAGCAAAATATGCAGAGGAAACAGACAAACAAAAAATCCCCATCCAGTGAAAGATGAAAAAAGACGACAAAGAGACATACAAAGAAAATTTAAAGAAAATTTTAAAAAAGCATCAGATGCAAATGCAGCCTGACAGTTCACACAATTTGGACTGCCCCATCCATATGAAATACACCAAACACAACCACCATGGTCCCAATGAGGTAGGTAAATGGTCCCACAGGAAAGTAACTAGCCACACGATTCAGCTGAAAGCAACTCATTCCACCTTGGTACTTTATTCTTCCAAACATAGCTTGACCCCCCTGGTGCCCCAAGTTGTTGGGTTCCCCATGTCTCATGGCACCAAGTAAACGTCCCTATCAAAATCACTGTTTCCTTGATATCCAGTCCTTATGTAATCCTTCCATCTGTAAAGTACTGTTCCATAGACTCTCACTCCAGCCATGTTGGCCTCCATACAGAACCCACTCTCTGTAGGAGGCCACCTGTTTGTGGGAGATGCAATACCTGCAAAATAGACTGTTCTTCCATGGGTGGAATGCCCTAATTTACCCCTCCCCCACCTTTCATTCCTATTCCTACTAAGGAAAAGCAACTCCGCAGGAATAGTATAGGTTTCAGAGTAGCAGCCGTGTTAGTCTGTATCCGCAAAAAGAACAGGAGTACTTGTGGCACCTTAGAGTCTAACAAATTTATTTGAGCATATGCTTTCGTGGGCTACAGCCCACTTCATCAGATACATAGAATGGAACATATATATACATACAGAGAACATGAAAAGGTGGAAGTTGCCATACCAACTCTAAGAGGCTAATTAATTAAGATGAGCTATTATTAGCAGGAGAAAAAAAAATTTTGTAATGATAATCAAGATGGCCCATTTCGGACAGTTGACAAGAAGGTGTAGGATACTTTTTTCTCCTGCTGATAATAGCTCATCTTAATTAGCCTCTTAGAGTTGGTATGGCAACTTCCACCTTTTCATGTTTTCTGTATGTATATATATGTTCCATTCTATGCATCTGATGAAGTGGGCTGTAGCCCACGAAAGCTTATGCTCAAATAAATTTGTTAGTCTCTAAGGTGCCACAAGTATTCCTGTTCTTTTTGAGGAATAATATAATAGCTGAGATCTGGGCCAGCTGCACTGCTGCTGTTCAGGAGAGACCACTCTCTAGTGCTGGCTTTAGGATTGGCACCAGACAGCACCCATCTCAAGATCCTTTTCTAACTATAGATGTTTTGTTCTTGTCAGTCTCTCACATGCGAGGAAACTGATGGAAGCTTTGGTTTATGGACTTTCTACTAGATTCTTGTTAACCTTCAGTTTGCTAATGAGGGAAATCCCATCTGGATATAATCTTTTATTCTTTTAATCGCTTGCAGATAATACAATGAAATAAGTCAGAAGGAGTTGGAGAGTCCGTTCAAGGTTAGGTGACCTGGGGAGAATACAAGGTGGAATATTATGTACTTTTTGTACTCTTGGTAGAATATTTATAATTGGCTCACACTCTAAAGTTCCATTTATAAAAGGGCTGTTAAATGATCATTAAATATTTTAATAACTAGTTAAAGATTCTTTGTCTGATAGGTGAATAGGTTGCTTATAACATCTACAACACCTTTTACTGATGTGCTTATAAATCATCTATAATATGCACAGCTCATGTCTGTAAAAGGCTTAAACATCTATTAACTCTTTATAAATGGAACTCTCACACAGAGTGACCCCACAGTGACGTGTTCTGAGACTCACCTGACTTTTGGGGGCTGCCAGAAATACCAGCCTATTGTACAACAGTCGCTGTGTGTGCTGAGATGACTTGGGATGGATCTGTCCCCTAATCATTTCTGTGCTGCCTGGTTGTATTCACGTGTCTTGTGCTTAGGTTCTGGATTCAGAGCAGGACCCAGCAGAACATGTGCCAGAAGTGGAGGAAGACTTGGACCTTCTGTACGATACATTGGATATAGACAACCCCAGTGACAGTGGCCCTGAAATGGAAGATGACGACAGTGTCCTCAGCACTCCAAAACCAAAGTTAAAGTAAGAGAATTGGGCTCTGGGGTCGGTATGGGCTCGAAGAAGCCATAGGTAAATTTAACTGGTTGAGAAACAAAACAGTGCTTGGCTGCTAAAGTGCTTTACAGCCTCCATTTCCAGAGTTTGGAAATATTTTTTTTGGAGGGGGGGGGAATTGAAAACTAATCCACTCTTACACCATTTATAATTACATGTTTCATTTATTCCACTCCTACTTTCCTTTTCTCCTTGACCTGGCAATGGGTCACGGTATGTATTTTAACCATAGCATGAAAGATTTGCACATGCTGGCAAGAGTTTACATCTTACCCCATTAGCCCTGCTCTCACCACGTCTTAAGTGTGCTGCCTGGTCTTATGCATTGCAGACAGAACAGAGGAGGGTGCTATTTGATGCCTATGTCAGACAGATGGAGGTGTAAAGTGCCCATTGGCAGTAAGTGGAACTAAAAACTATATGCACACATCCCCCTGCTGGGGAAGAGGAAGAGAGGATGGGAGAAGAATGCACCATATGGAGTCATCAGACCAGAACCAGCAGCGATTGAAAGCCGAGAGAGGCCAGGCTGTGAGGGAGTGTATGGTAGGTCCAGGAGGAGGAGGGTAAATTATGGGAAAGTTGTTAGATGCCATTGTGAGATGGCTTCAGTGGAGTGGAAAAGGTGGAAACTGGACCAAGGGTGGAGTTGGAGGAGAGGAACTTGAAGCAGTGGTTGTCAAGGGCACTCTCAATGAATTTAGAGGAGAAAGGAGATGGGGGCAGTGGCTGGAGAGGCAATTGAAGTCAAGAAGGGCACTTTGCTGATGGAGTTGATTGGGACATGCCTGGATTTTGAGGGGAGCAAGCTAGGCAAGAAGACAGCAAATGGAAGGGAAAGTAGTAGTCAGGTGGGGATTGTGTTGAGGTGAGTGGAAGGGTTTGGGGGAGAGAGCGGACAAGGAGTCATGGGATTGGGGAGAATGATAGGTTGTTGAAAGCTGCAGAGGCAGGGAGAAGGGAAGCCAAGGGAGATCTTGTAAAGCTGTGTCTTTGAAAATGGTGGCAAGACCTTGTGTGGGAGGGATGGTTTCATTGGGGAATCAAAGGCAGGAAATGAGTGCAAGGAGAAGTGTTTTGCAATGAGTATGCCAGGCCTGACAGAGGAGAGAACCTATTATCATTTAACGTTCTGATGATGAAAAGCTAGCACAGCAGTGAGTCAATGTGATCTGTGTTAAATGGATTAAATGCCAGCTAGCTGATACGTTGCAAAATGTAATTGGGGAATAATCAACTAGAAGGGCTGAGAATCTGTTCCTGGTCAATGCTATTCAGTATTTTGCAAATGAACTGGAAGAAAATGTAAAGTCTATTGCTGATAGTTTGCAGGTGATGACACAGATTGGTGGCAAGTAAATTACTAGGACAGGTTGCTTGTAGAGGGACATAGACCACTTGGTAAACTGGGCAAAGTCAGATATCCATTTTCATGTGGTCAAATGCAAGGCCTTACATCTGCAAACTAAAAATATAGGATATACCTAATTTAGTCCCCCATTCTTTACAGCAAGGAATGATTCTGCAAAGGGCTTGCAGGTAATGGTGGGTACATTGAAAGCTCGTGTTCAGTTGATTGGTGCTGGGGTTAAAAGGGCTAACTCCGCATTTGGATATAAACAAGGGAATATCGAATAGGAGTAGGAAGGTGATACTATTACCTCTTCATGCAGCATTAAGGAAACTGTTTCTGGAAGCCTGCGTCTATTCTGGTGTCCACATTTTACAAGAAGGTTGGAAAATTGGAGGGTTTATAAAACTAAATGATTTGCAGAATGGAAAACATCTCTAAAATGAGAGACTATTATAGATTATGATCAAGTAACCACTTAACCTTCTTTGTTAAACCAAGTATCTGTGTGGGAAGAAGATCTGATAATAGATGGTTCTTTAACCTATAAGACACAGGCATGACAAGAGCCATTGGCTGGAAGATAAGCTACATAAATTCAAACTGAAAATAGGGTGCAGATTTTTAAAATTTAGGCTGATTTAACTATCAGAACAGATTGAGAATTTACTATACCACTTGGCAATCATTTTAAGTTAAATCAAAACTGGATGTCTCTCTAAAAGGTATACAGTCTAGCTCAGCCACAAGTTATGGGGTTTGATGCAGATCTCACAGCATGAAGCTCTATGGCCTGTTATATAGAAGGTTGAACTAGATGATCACAGTGCTAAGAGGATAAAAATCTATTAAAATTTCATTTCAATTTGACAAGTCACTTTAAGGCCTGAAGTTACTATAATCTGGCTCAAAAACTTCTCTCTTTCGCCACCAGAAGTTGGTCCAATAAAAGATATTACCTTACCCACCTTTTCTCTATCATCTATTAAAATAATTTAAATGCTGAATCAGTTACTTCTCATAGACTTTAATGAGTTAAAAGCTGCTTTTTTATAGAGAGTCAGGGGACATCTCTAGCTTTTTGGGTCAGCCTTTATAAATATGGCACAGTGTCAAGTACTGAGTTAAGTATGTATATAATCAGTCTTTATAATAGTGTGAATGCTGGCATATACTTTTTTCCTAAGGTCAGTACAGTACTTCCAGTTTGTGTAGAAAGGCTTTCACTTTACTTACACTGGGTTTCAGTTGAGCAGAAATACTTGTAGTTTCATGTTTACAGTTAAATCATCAGTCATCTAGTGTTCTTCATTGTGTAGCTTTAATTAGATTTCAACAATAAGGGTTGCAAGGGAATTTGAGGGTCCTTTTCAACTTATTAAAAAGTTGGTTTTGTGCATTTTTAGTTGAATTCCAATTTTTATCCAAGTGTAGCTTGACACTAATCATGACTTAAAAGTTGATTTAGTAAATCAGAAATACATCATTTACCATTCTGTAGCATTAAAAGATGTAGAAATTAAGTATCTGAATAAGTGTAAAGCTGTATGATGGGCTAAATCTGTATAATTATAGTGCAGCCTCCGGGTTAGCAAAAAGTACCAAATCTAGTGTAAAGAGTATATGAATCCAATCAGCAAGTTCTAATGGTTATACCAACCAGTGAGAATGAACTTTTCCTTGGGAAAATAACTAAAAAGTACAAACAGAAAAAAATAAATTAAGATTTTCTACGTGCTGATGTAAATCATGATGAAAAGTGGTGACTTAAATCCATCCACCCTGCCATGGTGGTCCCTTCTGGCCTTAACATCTATGAAATTTCAGGTTGAGGGACACCTATGTGTCTGCAGGGCTTTCTCCAGAGGGGTTCAGAGGTGCAGGAGCAGGATTGGGGAAGCAGATTTTGGGTATGATCCAGGTTGCAGGGGCAGATTTTGCAGCGGAAGAGAGAGACAGTGGGAGTGGAGGGAATTGGCAACGGAATCAGCAGGCGAAGGGAGGACTGAGTGGTACAGAAGTCATGGACATGGGTGGGTTAGAAGTCGAAGAGCTGGGGGATGCGAGGGGGAGTTGAAAGAAATGAGGATGAAGTGCAGGGAGGACGGAGAGAGTAGAGCTGACTTTTTCATTCCACATAGTTTACAAATCTGAATTAATCCTGAGACCAGTCCTCTGAGGTAGGTACGCAAGAGCTCCGCTTTTACAGAGTGGTACCCTTACTGGCCCGTGGTTGTATAGTCAGTCACTAGCAGAGCTAGAATCAGGATCCCAGGTCTCCTGACTCCCGTTTCCGTGCTCGAACCATCGAACTCTACTTTCCGTTCTCCCACCGACACAAATGGCAGCTGCTAACAAATCCCCGATGAACTAATGGGGGGGCAATTAAGACCCTCTGGATATCTGTCTGATTTCAGGTTAGGAGTGTGGGAGCAGCGACCATTGGTTTCTTTCCCGGCAGATAACTATATCTTCTGTCTGTCTTGTCTTAGACCGTATTTTGAAGGCCTGTCACACTCCAGCTCTCAGACAGAAATTGGTAGCATCCACAGCATCAGAAGCCAAAGAGAGCCATCAAGTCCTGTAAGTCACTGTTTCCAAAGGGTTATTTATTGGCAGAATGACCTCGCTCAGGGCCGGCTCTGGCTTTTTGGCTGCCCCAAGCAGAACAGCAAAGCAAAAAAAAAAACAAAACCTGCAGCGCGGCCGGGGCGGGGGGGCGGGGGGGCGGGGCCCGCCGCGCCGCCGCCCCCTGCGGGGGGGCGGGAGAAGAACAAAAAAAAAAAAAAAGCGGCCGTGCAGCCCTAGGATTGGGCGGAATGCCGCCTCGTTCAATCTGCCGCCCCAAGCACCAGCTGTGTTGTAATTCATGCCGATACCAGCCTCTTTCTTTGTATCTAATTCCGCATAGCTGGTGAGTGAGACATGAATCCAATGTTAAGAGAGCCTGGGTAGATTTAAAAAGCAGAGTTGCAGAAGTTTGAGTTACCTGTGGCAGTAACTTAGATTGCATGTTTTGCCTGTTATTTACGCTGTTAAAAGGTTTACTAAACAATTCTACATTAAATTCCACATAAGAACCGGAGTAGCAAATGTTTCCTGTAGGAACCTTGACTGCTTGAGCATTACATGCATGTATCTGTGTTTAAAACATTCAGATAGCAGTGCCCATCGGGGCAGCCACACCCCACCTATGCCTGCTTGTGGGGCACCTGACTTATATATGGGAAGGGTTGGATGCCATCCCAAATGCACCACAGTTCCATATGACCTCTGTAGTCAGGACAGGACTCAGAGGTGCTCTCTAGTATATCTGATCCAGGGCTTTGTTCGCAAGCAGGAGTAGTTTTAGTTGGTGTTGGGATTCGGTACCTAGAACCCTTCATACTGAACTAAGAGGTGGTAGTGTGTCTGCCTTGGCATGGTTCCAGGATGGGCGGAGAGGGGTGTGATGCTTTAAAGAAACTGTTTCTGGGGAAAGGTGCTATTGTGCAGATGGCGTCTTGGGTTTTGATGTGAACAGTCAGGCTTGGACTCTGTCTGCTTTCCTTTGGCAAGGGGCTCCATAAAAAATGTCTTGATGGAGCCAACAGTCTGCCCCCAGCACCTGCCTCGGTCTCCCAAGCAGCAGCATCCCTGTGAACCATGCATGTTTTTAACTCATGTGTGACTCTGTCTCTGGAAGAATCAGCCCCTGTCCATTAAGGAAGCCAGTGGAGCCTATGGAGCAGGGGTGTTGGAGGCAGGCTACTGTGTGCTGTTGCACCCTCAGTATCAGTTAATGTTTAACCACAATCAGTATCAAAACCACTGCTGGAGTCCTTGTGTGGGTTGGGATCTCTGTGGAAAGGGGCTTTCCCTGACAACAGCTTGCCAGGCCATCTTCTGTTATGGCTTCCTAATTGACAGATGTTTTTAGTGAAACATTTCATTGTTTAAATTGAAGACCTGAGGGCAGTTCAGGTTCTGCATATGTTAGCCTGGGACTGGCAAGGTAGTGACCGCCTAAACCTCCTGTGAATACTGCCCAGCAGCCCTCCGTTGTGAAATCTGGCTTGGAAACAATGAGGTATAAAGTGCACATCTGTAGGGGGCATTGTGTGCTCTAGTACAGGGGTTCTCAACCTTTTCTTTCTGATGCCCTCCAACAAAATCCCAAATGAATTAATGGGGCAAAAACTCCACAGTCCATCCGTGCCACAACAACTGGTGTTCTGCATAGAAGAGCAAGGGCCGGTGTTAGGGGGTAGAAAGCAGGGCAGTTGCCCAGAGCCCCACAAAGCTAAGTTGCTTGGGCTTCAGCCCTGCCTAGCAGACCCCCTGAAACCTGCTCACAGCCTCCGGTTGAGAACCACTGCTCTAGTGTGCCATGCTTTGACTGCTTTCTCTTGTCAAACAGGTAGAAGTGCCTGAAAAGACGACGAGCCTTGGAAGCAAACATCCAGGCGACAGTATCTCTGACACTGTGTCTTACGTAAGTTTAAAAACTCATTTGGGAACATTCATCCAGTAGTTTCAGTGTTCGCTGTCCGTCATACACTGGGTGGGCTTTGTATATATCATCATGGCAAAGCCCAAAGGGACGTAGCCTTGCAGATCAGTCTCTAGCTAACTCCTTAAGGTGGTCTGGCTGGGGGTTCAGTTTATGTCTGTTCCTAGCGATCTTATCACACCACGAAAGTTTTTGTTGTGAGTAGTTGATGTGGGCAGAACGTGGTTTGTATCTGCTAGAGCCAGGGAGAGTAGAGGATTTCTATGGCTTTTCACGTCACTATTGTGTTTGTAGGAGCCTAGCCAGCAAGACTCCCAGGAAGCAGAACTCTCCACACTGGATGTGTTCATTGAGAAGCTCCCACCAAGTGGAAAAATCACCAAGACAGAGTCTCTCATTATTCCTTCCACCAGGTAACACCCTAAGCAGCAATAGCAGCAGGCATCGCATCTGCTATAGGAACTGGCTAAGACGGTATGGAAGCGCTTCATCTTTTATATAGTGCACCACCTCAGTTTATGCAGCAAGGGTAGTTAGCTCTCTTTGGCACTTATCTGACACCCACTACATAGTATCTGAGTGCCTTCTCAGTCCTGTGAGGTAGAGCAGTGTTCAGCCCCTGGAACAAGGGTCTCATTTCCTCAGCAGAGGCTATGTCTGCAGGATTGGTGTTGATGGTCTCCCTTCCATGCTTCCTCAGCTAGGATGGTAGCTGGCTGGGACTTGGCTCCTTGAGGGCACGTCAAGGTGGGTGTGGAGGTGGTAGAAGCTGGAAGGTGCAGTTCTCAGGGACTGACTCCATCCTGCCGGATGCCTGGGATGGAAGGAGTGGAGGGACTGCAGGTTGTGTGGAATATTGAACTGAATCATGTTCTGAAAACCAGGTCCCTTTCAGAGTGGAGGTAAAGGTGGACAGCCAAAATCATTAGTCTCTTCTGACAACATGACCATCAAGCTGAAAGATCAGATGTTCCTTATGAATTGCTCTTGGAGGTAGACACAGTCACTTACTAGTTCTTATTGGCTTGTAGTGGTGACAGCCGTTTGGTCTATGGGTAGTAAGGTGCTGGATCTCACTCCAGTTCCTAGCGGACAGATGTCATTTGCTTCATGAGACAATTTCTTGGGGAGGACATGGTCCTTTAATTGATATTATTTGATGATGGAATGTGGTTAATTTTGCGGGTTAGTTTGAAAAATCCCCTTGATAAATTAAAACTGATAGGCAGTAATTGGCTCCCTTGTAGGCATTCTTAGAAAAGAGGCCAAGAACTGAATAAGCCATGGAGAATCTGATCTCTCCCCACTAGAGGTGATGGGCCCTCCATGGTGGGTGATGTGTGTTGGCAGGGCAAAGGGGAGAATGTTTCCATTGCTGCTTCCTGTACTGTAATGGCTGGGACCTTAGGCCCCAGGGCTGGTAATCCAAAGACTTTCACCAATACTAACCTCACACACCAGACAAAGTTTATATATAAATGATTTATTAAACAATTGAAGTGATCTAACAGCCTTGTTTGTCCAACAGGGCAAAGTCACTGGGGTTAGAGTAGCTTGGATTTCAGGGCTACCTTCAGTGAGTGTTTCTGATTAGTCTCTCAAGCAAAGTGCTAGACATTCTTCTGGGGGGCAGGTTCATAAGTGTGAGCTATGGAGGGGCAGGAGGCTTCTTGGGCTGTTGGCAGGTCTCTGACCTGAGCACACTATGCAGAATCCCTTTGCTGCAGCTCAGGATAACCCTTCTGGCAAACAGCTTCTCTGTGGCCCTGAGTGAATGGTGACTATGTAACCGTTACAATTTAGCAGGCCAGAAGGGAAGCAAACTGGTCGCCGTGGCAGAAGCACTTCACTGAAGGAAAGGCAGCCAGCGAGGCCACAGAATGAGAGGGCGAACAGCCTGGACAATGAGCGCTCTCCAGACACCAGGCACCACCTGCAGGTGAGATGAGCTCCACCCCCTTCACAGCCTTCCGCTGTGCATCCTTCCCCAAAACATCCCCTGTGGCTCCTGTTCCACCAGCCCTCTCCCCTCTGAAGGCCAGGGATGTAACTTTTCTTATGCATGGCTCCACCTCTACATGATGGGCTGAGTTTTTTTTCTCAGCTGATATCCCATTTTCTGTCTCTTCTCGCTGCTTTTGGTTAGTGTGTTGCTTTATATCAACTAGGATGAGACTGAAAAAGACTGTGGGGCAAATGGCAGCAAAAAAGAAAGAAAAGGTGATCTCTTAAGACTATCCCCAGGAAATGCCTAGTCTGAAACAGAGGGGCTCCCTAAGGTGATCCAATGTCCATAGCGCAAGGGGGGAAATAAAAAAAGCCACAGCAAGTCTTCAGAATATGGGTCAGCTGACCCAGTCTCCCGTTAAAGGGCTAAAAAGAGCAGTATAGACATTTCCTCTTGGGCTGGAGCCTGGGCTCGGAGACCTCACCCCCTTCGCTGCGTTCCAGTGCCCAGGCTCGAGCTCAAGTGGGAATGGCCGCACTACTGTTTTTAGCCATATTGTGCAAGCCCTGCAAGCCAGAGCCAATTGACTGGGGCTCTGAGATTTACTGCCGCAGGTTGTTTTGCAATGTAGACATACCCAAAGTGGTGTTTCTAGCAAAGTCCCTACTCTGCATCCTGGGACTTTCATTAGCCACAGAATTTGGTAATATTGGACCCAGAAAAAAAATTTGCTGCCTGTTATTTTGAAAATCCAGCCCCCCAGCAGTCACTGTAGTTGATATTGGTTAATATAAAGCGACTTTATTGTTGTGTGTCCTTTTATCATCATGGAATCACTGACAAAACAAGTCCCAGCTACTTCAGTAGTTTGTGGAATATGTGCTTTGGAAACGTTACTGGGTCTCTGCCTCATCATGCGGTTGAGCTCCCAGCTTCTGTAAAATACAGGGCTCTTGGAAGTGGTGAAATAGAACATAGTCTTATTTGTATCTTTCATACAGGGCATCTCAGAGAGCTTCACAAAAATAATGCTGCTGGTTCAGATCTGTGGCCAGTTTGTCCCACTGTTCCATTATCTGTTTGGGGTTTTTTGTATTCACAGATTCCAAGGAAAACTGTATACGATCAGTTGAATCACATCCTGATTTCTGATGACCAGCTACCAGAAAATATTATTCTTGTCAATACTTCGGACTGGCAAGGCCAGGTAAGTGCAGGAGAATGGATGATGAGCCCTAGGTTTCCCTGCAGGCAATTCCTGTTGCTCTCTCTACAGGGCAGGGCGGATAGGATTTTTAGCTTACATAAAAGGAAGAGCGAAGCAACCTCTAAGGTTCATATTTTGCTATCTAGTAAATGGGTCTAATAGCATTTGGGAGTTGTGGCTGCAGGTGAGTCATGGGCCTAGGGATCTTATTTTCACAGAGAATTATTACACTTCAAGGCGGTTCTTAACATGAGCCTTCCCTAAACACACCCCCTTCCACTTAAGGTGGCATTCTCCTGGGTTAATCAGATACATTTTTTCCTTGCTCATTGGAAATGGCTGAACAGTTTTTTTCTCTCCATTACACTTGAAAGGAGAACTTCATAAAATGCATTGAAATGGGGTACTTGGACTGGGGGTGGGAGGAAAGGGATGCCCAGGAGTACATATGCACAGGGACTCTCCTGGCCCTGTAATGGAGTGGAGGAGCAAAGGACCAAATCTTTGGATGCTACAGAACTAGCATAGGAGGGCAGTGCTGAGAGAGGCAGGGAGTGTGCCCAGTAGAAGTGAGGAGCGGGGCAAGGAGAGAAGGAGTGGGGCATTCAGATACTTTGTCATCTTAAAAGTGAAATAAATGCAGGGAAGGATTAACTAATTCAGTGCTAGGGCTAAGAATTTTGTGCACAGGTAACAGATGCAAAAAATAACATTCCTGTGGGAACCTTAAAGTATCACCCATTCCTTGCATGCACGTTCATTTGCTAATTGTACCTTGCACCTTAATATCCCCAAAGTGGAATATGTAAACACTACCATTGCGCTCTTATTTTGGTGCTAGTGCTTTATTTTTTCATCAGGGAGATAAGGCTTGTTTGCCTTTTTCAGATCAAGTTACACTCCTTTCCCACCAAACTAGGCATGTTTAAAAAACAAAACAGAAAAAAGTGTGGAAAGTGCCTGATATTATAATTCATAGACCTTCTCTATAACACTTATTATGGTCCAGTATGGAGAATGGTGGTACGAGGATCATGGGCTTGCTAGCCTTACTGCAGGTGAAATTGTTGATCTGTGTGATTTTTTTAGACCACTCCTGCTTTCTGCAGAATCAGGTTTAAGGGAATCTAAAAGCAGCTTGGCAGCAGGTGAGTGGAGTGGTGCTGTTTGGCCACAAGACTTCCCCCGTGGTGCTCCGCGCTTTGTGTGGATCAGATTGGCTCACCCCATCCACTTCCTCCAGGCATGAGGCCTGGGGGGCAGATGGAGAGTGGGGTGAAGAACTTGGTAGTAAACAGACAGTCTCAGCATTAGCCAGTGGAGCTGACGTGTGCCCAGGCTAAGTGAGGGAAACATGAGGTTGTAATTAAGGCTTTGAATGGGGGGATGGAGGGGAGACACTAACTGTAGTGTTTCCTTAGGAGTTGGAAGCAGCAGATAGTTCTGCTGGAGTTGGAGTCTGTCACTGTCAAGGAAAATGTGCTGTGTGGGCGTCAGGGTACGGGTCAGAAGAGTCCCGTAGCTGGTTTCCTTGGGTTTTAAGGTGTAAGAAGGGGGGGATGTCCCACTTGCCTACTCCTCATCCCTTTTAGATTGTTTCTGGAATGGTAATTGCAATGGTTTAGTCTGCAGCAGCTCTTGTTTTAATCAATAGCAGCCTTTGTGGGGAGCAGGGGAGAGAGGCTACTCTGGCTATGCTTCTGTAGCAAGAAAAACAAATCAGCTTGTGTTCTCTGCAGGAAACCCTGGAGTGAACTGTTTAAAAAAGAAAAGGGGGTGCGGAGGGGAGGGGGTCAGTAGTGAGCCACCTGCTCTGGTGTTCCACTTGCTGGAATCCCACCATGATTCTGCTCTCCAGAAGCTGTAATCAAACATCTGGTGCGATGTGTGTGACACCTTGGTACCAGAAGTGGTACATCCTGGGAGAGTTGTCACCATGCCAGCCAATAAGACACACATGTAACTCTTAGGGTATGCCTATGCTGCATTCGAAAGTGTGATTGCAGCTCTGACAGACTAGCTTTAATCTAGCTAGCATGGCCAAAAATAGCAGTGAAGACTTGGTGGCGCAGTCCCTGGCAGTATGTCCCAGCCTGGAACCTGGGTACATACTTGTGTTGCTAGCACACTGGGTTGCTGCCACAGCATCTTCACTGCTATTTTTAGCCATGCTAGCTAGATTTAAAGCTACTGTGGGTATATCTACCCCAGCTACAGTCATGCTTCTGATTGCAGTGTGGACATACCTTAGAAGGGCTCCTCTTTAAGCTTTTACTTCTGGAAGAGGTGTCATAGAAAACTGTAGCATGGAGTGCAGCCAGTAATTCCAGGAGCTGGAAACAGCTATGTCTGAAAATACCCCAGCAGGACAAATTTACCTGTATGTGTGTTTCTGACTAAAAGTTTGGGTAAAATCAAGTCCTTTTGGCAGTGCTTCGTAACACGTTTTGTTGTCTTCCCAGTTTCTCTCCGATGTCTTGCAAAAACATACCCTCCCTGTGGTCTGTACGTGCTCTTCTGCTGATGTGCAGGCGGCTTTCAGTACGATTGTCTCCAGGATACAGAGATAGTAAGTTCACATTTTATTTAGTGTTAAATTATTTAAATTTAAGTACAATAAGATGTCTGTTCCCCAGCTCCAGACAATCTAATGACGTAAAATAACCATATGTTCACAGGGCAGACTAGAGAGCTACACACCACAAAAGTGAAATGAGTTTTCCCTCTAGTAATTGATGTAGTCAAGAACTACACCCCACCACCTAAATCTCATCCATTCCCTAACGCCCTAGCAAGCTGATGGTCTTTGCAGCATGCCCTAAAGGTGAAAAGACACAGGCTATTTTGGATCAAGAAGGGGAAGCAATTCCCAGAACCTAGGGGACCGCGGGAATTATGCATTGCCAGAAATCTTATACTGAGGGGTTCTGTAGAAGTATCTCCACTGATCCCAGCTGTGGTGTTCTGATGGGAAGGGGGACAGATAGCTAGGACCCAGGCTGTTTGGGTTTTGTAGGTCACAACTTACACCTGAGCTTTATCTTCAAACCCCCGTGTAACAGTGTGGACTCACCCCTGCGGAGCCTCCTGCTGGTCATCTCCGGGAATTAGCTCTCCAGCCATTGGAGCGCCCTCTGCAGCCCGGTGTCCCACTACCGCTTGGCCCCCGTGTCCCTCTCAGGACCCCGGTGCGCCTTTAACTGGGTGCTTCCCCCTGGCAGTACCCCCACAGTTCTGGGTCTCCCCCTCCCAGGGGAACCCCCACCCATTATCCCCACTTCACCTCAGTCTTGACTACTGCCTCTATCTAGCCCCCGTTCACTGGGGCAGACTGCAGTATAAGCCACTCATCACAGGCAAAGGGGTTTGGACCTGCTGCCTCTGGCTACCCGTGGGCTGCCCCCTGTAATCCAGTACCTAATAGGCCTTACCAGGCCTGCAACCTGGGGCTTTCCTAGCCGGAGCTCCCCGGCTCCCTTGGCCTTTCCCCAGCCCTGCTCCACTCCAGATACCTGCTTGACCTCCCTGCAGCCAGGCCCTTCTCTCTCTGAACACAGAGAGAGACTGCCTGCTTGAGCTTCTGGAATACCAAATTCAGGACAAACTGCTGAGAAATAGGGCACCCCCCTTCTCCCCCCCCAAAAAAAACTGGTGGTTATTCTCCCATAAGATATACCAAACCAGCAACAAAAGTAAACTTCTTGTTTCACCACATTGGCTAACAAGAAGTCAGAAAAGCAGTTTCCTTAGGTATTCCAGTCCTGGATTCAACACTCAGACACTAGACTTAAAGATGAGTGGTTTTTTAAAATCAGTTTCATCAAACAAAAAGTTCTTCTAATCCGAAAGGACCAGCCCTACACCCAGGTCAATATACAACTCAGATCTTACCCAATAATCACACTGTTGCCAATCCTTTAGTATCTAAAATCTAAAGGTTTATTTATAAAAAGAAAGAGAGGTGAGAGTTAAAATTGGTTAAAAGAATCAAATACATACAATAAATGCAAAGTTCTTGGTTCAGGCTTGTAGCAGTGAGGGAATAAACTGCTGGCTCAAGTAGAGTCTCTGGTTGCTTCCAAATCATTGGAAGATCCTCAATTCCTTGGTTAGAATGCTTCCAGTAGTATAAGTTCATAGTTCAGAGGTTCGAGCAGGAAAGAAGCAAAATGGAGATGTTTCCAGGGCCTTTTATAGCTTCTACCTTGTGGAGGGAAATCCATTGTTTCAAACAAAGCCCTTGCACAGCTAGTGGAAAATCACAGAGAACAAGATGGTGTTTGGAGTCACATGGGCAAGTCACATGTCCATGCATGATTTCGCTTAGGGCTTGTCTACACTGGCACTTTACAACGCTGCAATTTTCTCGCTCAGAAGTGTGAAAAAACACACCCCGAGCACTGCAAGTTTCAGCGCTGTAAAGTGCCAGTGTAGACAGTGCACCAGTGCTGGGAGCTATTCCTCTCGTGGAGGTGGGTTTTCTGCCGCGACTACACAAGCCACGTTAAAGTGCTGCCATGGCAGGGCTTTAACGTTGCCAGTGAAGACGTGCCCTTAGTCACAGCAGAAGCCATTACCTATATTCCAGATGGAACATTCACAGGAAAGTCCATTCATTAAGTGTAGATCGGCATCTCCAATGGTCCATTGTGAGTTAAGTGTTCCTTGATGAGCCACTTAATTTGAATAGTTCCATCAAGATGTGCAAGCTAAATACCTTGTGGGCATTACCCTAGGAGCAAACATTTGAAATACAGGTATAGAGCCAATGCTCATAACTTCAAATACAAAAATGATACATGCATACAAATAGCATAATCATAGCCTTTCCATAGACATCTTACTTGACATAATTTGGACAAGATTTGTTGAAATTATATAACAGTGGTAGCAACATTGCCCACTCTTGGTGTAGATCAAACTTTTTGGCCCGAGGGCCACATCAGCATTGCCAAACTGTATGGAGGGCCGGGTAGGGAAGGCTGTGCCTCCCCAAACAGCCCTGGCCCCCGTCCTCTATCTGCCCCCTGACTGTCCCCCTCGGAACCTCCGATCCATCCAACCACCCCCTCCCAGGACCCCCTGCCCCTAACCAGCCTCCCAGGACCCCACCCCTATCCAACCCCCCCCGGTCCCTGTCCCCTGACTGCCGCAACCCCTATCCACACCCCCGCCCCCGACAGGGCTCCCTGGGACTCCCACGCCTATCCAACCCCCATCTCCGCCCCACTCCCCGCCCCCTTACTGGCCGGAGTCAGCCACGCTGCCCAGCAGGAGCTCGCAGCCGCGCCACCCAGAGCATTGTGCCAGCGGCGCAGTGAGCTGAGGCTGTAGGGGAGGGGCCGGGGGCTAGCCTCCCCGGCCAGGAGCTCAAGGGCTGGGCAGGACGGTCCCGCGTGCCATAGTTTGCCCACCTCTGATCTACACGGTCATATTTAATCTCAGACCCCAGAAGCAGAGGCCATAGGCGCAGACTTGTAGTACCTGTCTCTTAATCTGGTCTGAGAGGAACATCAGACCAGTCACCACACAGACAACTCGGATTAACAAAGCTATCCACAACTCTACATAAATGTGTCTGGGATCCTGTGCTTGTGATAATGGAAGCAAAGAACCATTTCTTTGCCTCCTGCACAGCCACAGTATAACAAGTGAACTCTTTATGCCACAGATGATTAGCTTCAGTCTGAGACTTCGGCCACCAGTACTTTAGCAGTGTGAGGGGAAGTTGTTACCCTTCAGCAATGTGAGTGCAGGGATAAGACCGAATATTTGTGGGTTATTCTCTGCATACAGTCAACTTTACATCATTCTCAGTGAAATTTGTTGCATATAGCAAGTTTCTGGTTCTAGGCTTTATACCCAGTGAGGAAATCTTTAGAAGTCTTGGGAAGGAGACTGATGGGAAGATTTTTTTAAATAGTTTGTAAAAATGTGAGAGTTTCTTGTCTACTCTGCAAGAAAACACCTGTGGCTGTCCCATGTCAGCTTACACTGGCAGTGAGGCTAATTGCAGTGTAGACATTTGGGCTGGGGCTGGACAGTGGCGTCCCAGAGCCCAGGCTCCAACCTGAGCCCAAATGTCTGCATTGCAATTCTGCACCCCCTGAGCCCCACAAGCCTGAGTCAGCTGACATGGGCCAGGCGCGGGTGTTTTATTCCAGTACAGACATCCCCAAAGTCACTAAAGGCAGCAGTGCATGCCAGGGGGTGCCTTGTGGTCATTTTCCCCCAACACGATTGAATATAATTGAACCCTACATGGAAAACCCAAGTACAGGTTTTCATAGCTTGGAAAAAGTCGGGGGGTGGACAATTGAAAGTCCATGTTTCTGAAGCAAATGTTACATTTCATTAATACGTTTTAAGATGCTGCTCAGTGTATGATTGTCCTACATGCTAGAATAGCTCATTCCTGTGACGCAGCCATTAACTAGATTTGTCTATATCAAGCAGTCTTTCTGACTGACTTTAAAATAGTTATTTAGAAGGCAAATGATAAATATGTTCCCTCTTTTTTTTGTCTAGCTGTAACTGCAATTCTCAGCCTCCAAACCCCATTAAAATTGCAGTGGCCGGAGCCCAGAATTACCTCAGTGCTGTGTTGAGGCTCTTTGTAGAACAGCTGTCTCACAAAACCCCGGACTGGCTCAGCTACATGAGATTTTTGATCATCCCACTAGGTAAATAAGTCAATATTTTCTTCAGATTAATGGCTTAAATCAAATGCGCTCTCTCAGGAATTGCCTTCAGGGAAATCTTGGTTAGGATGCGTTCCAAAGGCCACGTTCTTGCTGGCCATTAAATGAGACAAATATTTCACTGCTATAGTATTTAATATTTGTTATGGTCCTGTCACATTCATCTTTACATTCCTGATGCTGAATCCTAAACTGTTGTTGGGAAGCAGCCATTAATCATTCATATTAAATGCAATGGATTGAAATGAGCTCTCCCAAGACAGAGCTATGTTACAATATTAATCCTCTTGCAGTGTACTTTTAACTTAAGTGTATAATGAACTTTTGTGAATGTTCTGCCAACAATCCTGTGCACAATTGCTATGATTTACTACGGTGCAAGTGGTGTTTGAACTAATGACTGTATTCTGGACTCTTATTTCTGAGACTGCAGCTCAAGATGTTCATAGAAAGTAACTAAGAGGCTGTTGAACTCAGAGTATGGTTAATACTCAGTTAACAGGAAGCACCTTTAAATTATTGTTACACATTTTAAATGGAAGAGAAGGAAACTACAAAAAAACTAAATGGGCTCTAAAATTGCTGAATGGTAAACTAACGGGGGCGGGGAGGGGGATTTTGACCGTTCCTTTTACCTTCCTATCTCCCTCCTTCCTCTCTATGTTAACGACTTCCCCCACCCCTCCTCTTCCATCCCCACTGCTCACCCAGGCTTTTCTGCAAAATCCCATATATAGTTGAGTGCAGGAAAAAAATAGCTCAGTGTAACTTTAGTTTTCAGGAGAGTATCTCTTCATTCTTTCAACTCCTAGGTCATTCTGGCTGATGTGATCACAACACATTTGAAGTCAGCCTAATTTTTCTAGGGTCTAAACTTTCAGACTATGAATGAAAAACTTCAAAAATGTTAGTGATGAGAAGATCAAGGTTCTTGTTATGTTCATTGGGAAACAATTACACATGTTCTTGAACTGTCTAGAAGCCTGGAGAAGAGGAATGGGTGGACTGATTGTAGAGAGGGGCTTGGCTAGTGGTTTGAATCAAATGTCATTGGATGGATAAGCAAGGATGGAGTTATGAGTTGGGTTTGCAAGAATTTAGGAGCTTCTGGGAAACGGGCAGGGCACCTGATAACATAGCTCTATATAAAAGTGACTAGTGAGATTTTTTTCAATCTTAGTTTTGAATTCAATAAGTGGTTGTTTCCATTTCAAATGTAGCGAATGTGAAAGCTACTGATCTGTGCTATAAACAAGTGGTCAGTGACTACCATACATCAACGTATCAATTTACCTGACTCCGCATTCTAAAGGAGGTGGTAGAAGTCAAGTGATTGAATATGCTGAAGTAATGAAATCAAATAATACTTGTCAAGGGAAATCTAACCACAGTCAAAAGTTAAAGTAGCAAGATAGAACAGTTAGTGTTCATCTCAATGGACAGAGAAATCTTTCATCGGGATCAAATGTGCCATTGATTGAAACTTTTGTGTATAAATGCAGAAGAGCCTGATCCTGCTAGAGCAGGGGTGGGCAAACTATTTGGCCCGAGGGCCACATCCGGGAATAGAAATTGTATGTCAAGCCATGAATTGGGGTTGGGATGCGGGAGGGGGTGAGGGTTCTGGTCGGGGGTGCAGGCTCCAGGGTGGGGCCAGAAATGAGGAGTTCGGGGTGCAGGGCTGTGGTGATGATTTAAGTCAGTGGTTCTCAACCAGGAGTCCAGGGCCCCTGGGGGGCCTCGAGCAGGTTTCAGGGGGGCAGCCAAGAAAGGCCAGCGTTAGACTCACCTGAGCCCAGGACAGAAAGCGAAAGCCCTGCCATATGGGTCTGAAGCTCAGGCCCCTGAACCCTCCCACCCGGGGCTGAAGCCGAAGCCTGAGCAATGTAGCTTTACGGGGAGCCCTGTGGCATGAGGCCCCGGGCAATTGCCCTGCTTGTTGCCCCCTAACGCTGGCCCTGGCTTTTATATGCAGAAAACCAGTTGTTGTGGCATAGGTGGGCCGTGGAGTTTGTATAGCATGTTGGGGGGCCCCTCAGAAAGAAAAAGGTTGAGAATCTCTGATTTAAGTAGAGCCAGGTAGGAAACAGTTTTCTGGTCCCATACAATTTTTTGAGATTTTGAAAAAAATTCCCATCCTGAATTGGGCCAAAAAGTCTATTTCATATTTTCATGAACTGAAAAAAAAATAAAATTATTGGATTGGCCAAAACAGCTTGTTTTGATTTCAACTTTTTTTGAATTTGTTTACTATAAATTAACTTACATTTCTAAAGTGAAAAGTCTTGGAACATTTTAGGTTTTTGAAAATGACGAAACGGGATGTTTTGAGAAATTCAAAATGTTTTTGATGTGGGAAATCTGTTGAAAGAGACCTTTTCCTGTGAACAGTTTGTTCTGATGGAAACATGGTATGCTTTTTACACAACAAGGGATACTACAGAGCGGCATTACAATTGGAGGTGAATTTGGGGGAACTTTGGCAGATTATAGGCTCATGACACAAATGCCCCAGTCCGAATGGAAATGTGGGTAGCTATTTAAAGAATTGGAAACACACAAGGATAAAATCGAGAGATTTGGAGATGCTATGGAACCTTTCCATTACTTAACCAACATGACTAATCCCAAATACAGAAAATATTGATTGAATACAGAACAGCATAGGCTAGAATGTGGCTGATGGAAGGCATAATCCTGAGTTCTGTCCTCCTCTAGCATTTAAAATTGAGTATCCAGATTTCGATCACTAATCTGGTGTTGGAGGAAGCCGTGAAAGCCCATCTCAAAATGGTGGAAGATTTCCGACACCTCAGGAGTCAGAATTGCTAACTCCAGAATGTAGTTTTTAAATGCCTTGACCACCTTCTCAGCCAGCTCTGTGTCAGTCAACCCTGTCTCTGACCATGCAAATCTGAATGTAGTAAAGCTTTTCAGTAAAGCTGAAAAAGCAAATACGCTGATAAGTGTGTATTTAATGACTGATAAGAGCAGTAGGCCTACCTAGTTAGTTGTCTAGGGACACATTTAGCAAGTGTGTGGGTGCTCTGGTAGAACTGCAAGCTTTTCTTTGCCAACTCTGTTTACGTTTCACATGTCTCATTAATAAAACCTTGATTTTTTTTTTTCCATTGCTTTCTTTTTTTCCCCTAAGAGGAAAAAAACCTGAGGTTTTTCTGGGTTGAATTAAATTGCACCCTCCCTGTTTTGGAACAGATGTGATATGAGTTAGAACAGAATTTAGAGAAGAGGGTGTCTTCTCTGAATGCAAACACAGACCGTATGTCACAGCTCTTTTGAGGACAAGAGCCCTGGTGACCTGCAGAGTGGAAGGAAGGATCTGATGCACATGCTGCTGTTAAAGTAATTTGCAAAATTCCCTTTGACTAAAGCGGGAGTAGGAGTTGAGCTACAATGGAAGAGCTGAGTCACAGGGTCTCACTATTTTACAAGTGTATTTCTCCTCAGCAGTTTCTCAGTCCTTGTTTTCTTCAGTCTCTTACTTTTGCTTTCGTTTACACTTTAGAATGTTTAGGTCTGCTCAAGGGAGTCAAACTGAAGCAGTGTCTCTGATGCTGGAAAACAGTTTGGCTCCTGTACTAAGAATAGCAAAGAGTCCTGTGGCACCGTATAGACTAACAGACGTATAGGAGCATGAGCTTTCGTGGGTGAATACCCACTTCTTCGGATGCTTGAAGTGGGTATTCACCCACGAAAGCTCATGCTCCTATACGTCTCTTAGTCTATAAGGTGCCACAGGACTCTTTGCTGCTTTTACAGATCCAGACTAACACAGCTACCCCTTTGATACTTGTACTAAGAATGTTTGATCTGAGCAGCAGGGATTTTACTACACAACTGGAGCAGAGAGACTTGCATCACCACAGCTTGGTTATTGAGGGAACAACTCTATGTGGGGATCTGTCTGCATTGTGATTGGCTCTAGAAATCTAATTTGCATCTCCACTGTATGGTTATTTATTTCTCTTCAACTGAAGAATGAGTGTTTCTGTACAATGGCTGCCTGATGGGCATCATTAGCTAAAATGCCAGGAAGTTCATAACTGGGGAGAAACCTGTGTGGCTGTGCTTCTGTGTTGAAGTCAGTGCGAGCTGCAGATACTCATCACTCCTGAAAATCAGGCCACTTTTGTCTAAGATCCTAACTTTAAACACACAAGTCTGAAAACTTTGACCTAAAGTGCTTTGTTGCAATTGAAAACATCCTAATGGAGCATCTAGATAATTTTGTTTTGAACTTAAATTCTTTCTATACTAAGGGCTTGTCTACACTTGAAATGCTACAGCGGCACAGCAGACACTACATACGCCGACGGGAGGGGTTCTCCTATTGGCACAGGTAACCCACCTCCCCGAGAGGTGGGTAGCTAGGTCGATGGGAGAATTCTTCCATTGGCAGAGTGCTGCTTACATGGGGATTTAGATGGTCTTACAAGCCTCACTCAGGTGGATTTTTCTAACCCCTACACAACGTAGCTGGGTCAGCCTAACTGTTTAGCGTAGACCAAGCCTAATACTGTCAGTGTGTTCAGCATTTGGAGCAACTGGCTTATTTTTCTCTCCTCTTAGGTTCTCATCCAGTGGCGAAGTATCTAGGCTCTGTAGATTACAGGTACAACAACTTCTTCCAAGACTTAGCCTGGAGAGATTTGTTTAATAAACTTGAAGCACAGACCACTGGTAAGAGCCTGTTTTAATTTTTGGGGTGCATGGAGCAAACAACTTGAATGAGTTAGTAATGTTAGAAAATTGCAAATAAATGCAAGAGCTACAAATCTAAGAGTTTAGAGAATTTCACTGTCTTCCCCCAGCTCCCCAATTCCATATTGCTTTTTCAAGATGCTGACTCTTTTGCAGTCTTAAATGTCATTCTTTGTGGTCTTCCACTGCTGCTCCAGGAGATTCAGTGCCTTTCTCAGGATTTCTGTATTTTTCCCGAGATCTTGGTTGGTTGTTTTTTTGTCCACAGGTCTTCCCCATCACTTTAGCCAACTACCCACAGTAGCTCAGTGGTTTCAGCATTGGCCTGCTAAACCCAGGGTTGTAAGTTCAATCCTTGAGGGGGCCACTTAGGGATCTGGGGCAAAATCAGTACTTGGTCCTGCTAGTGAAGGCAGGGAACTGGACTTGATGACCTTTCAAGGTCCCTTCCAGTTCTATGAGATAGATATATCTCCATATATTAGCTCTTAGGTCTTTCAAGAGTTCCTCAAATCCTCTGTAGTCTTGAGTAATCTAAATTATTTTAGAGACACATGATGAGGGAGGTAATACCTTTTATTAGACTGACTTCTGTTGGTGAGACAGACGAGCTTTCGCCCTTATGCAGAGCTCTTCTTTTTTTATCATTGTCTCAAAGTGGATAATATCCTTTGCAGGTGAGAATAATCCTATTCCTGAAGCCTGCTGGAAGCATCTGTTCCAATGAAAGACACCCTTTGTAACTGCCCCAACCTGAGTGAGAACCAGCCAGTGTCAGATCAGCGTCTAGTTCCCATTCTGTTTTCAAGCAGTTCAACCAGCAGAAAATATGAATGGGTCACTTTATTAGGGAGCATTCCTAACAAGATCATGTGGGACCAGATGTATAATGCAGATTTTTTTTTTTACTACTTTGCTCTAAAAAGCAGAGTAGACTATAAACATGGTGATATACTCTGCCATTCTCACTCAGGTTACATAAGTTACTTAGACAAAAGGAATGTGCACACTGTGCAGATCCATGCATTGGCAACCTGAATTCTGTCCCTTTGTGTATGTGTATTGTGAGAGAGCCTTTCATTACACAATCACATACTATTCCTAAAATACCATATCATTTTTCTACAACCTGGGTCTAGGGTTTCATCATCATTTTTATTCTTGTATATAACATTCATTGTCCAAATAGTTCTGTAAGTCATCAAGGTAGAATTTTATCATTCCAACCCAAAGTCCTTGTAGTTATATTCAAGTTACAACTCTGACAAACTACACAAGAATAATTACTTTGTTAAAATATGAAGATGACAGGTGAAGGTAACTTACATTTCTTTTTCAAATGATGGTTCCTTTTTTACTCCTGAGGGAATTCTGCACCACAGTACATGGCAGAATTCATGTCCCCCGCAGATTTCTTTGCTTTCCTGCGGAAAAAAGACTTTCTGACAGGGAAGCAAAGGGAAACTGCAAGAGCAGTCATGCACCACTCCCTAGCAGAGCAGGTGCATTGTTTCAGGCACCCAAAGCAGCTGGCAGAGAGGTAAATCACCACAGGGCTGAGGGCACGCCAGTCAGTGGCTCCTACCCTGAGCTGGGATCAGCTGCTAGTCCCAGCTGGGCTGGAGACAGGAGAGGACAGGACTTCCTCTTCACCTGCAAGGAGTGTCTGGGGCTGTGTCAGACCCACCCCCAGAAACTTCCCCAAGCTGCAGGAAGCTCTGCATCCTCCCCTGCTTCCTACCCCCATCACTCCTCAGCTGTGAGGGGAGGGGTCACGGTACAGTGAGCTGCTTCCCCATCCACCCAACCCCCGTGCATCCATACCTCCCATACCCAGACATGCCTGCCAAGCCTCACCGGGTACATCCAGAACCCCACTGAACCTCAGCCCCTGCACCAGACCACCCTCCACGGAGCTCCCTGTACTCAAACCTCCACCCTGATGCCCCATCTCCTGCACCACCCTGAGCCCCCACATCCAGACCCAACTAGCTGCACCCAGACCCCCACAAAGCCCCACTCCCCCAGCACCAACTCCTCACTGGGACCCCCACACCTAGACCTCTCTGCTGAGCCCCAACCACCTTCACCTGGAAGCCCCTGAAGAGTCCCATTGCCCCTGCATCTGGAACACCCCACCCCCCGTGAGCCTTTGTGCAGCCAGATCCCCCCACACCTAGACCCACCACTGAGCTGCCTGCAGGGCCGGCACTTCCACTAGGCGACCCTAGGTGGTCGCCTAGGGTGGCAGGATTTGGGGGGCGGCATTTTGCCGCCCTTGGCGGAAATTCGGCGGCGGGAGGGTCCTTCCACTCCGAGTCTTCGGCGGAAATTCGGCGGCGGGTCCTTCACTCGCTTCGGGACCCGCCGCCAAAGTGCCCCGAAGACACGGAGCAGAAGGACCCCTGCCGCCGAATGTTCAGAAGAGGAGCGCTGCCACCTAGGGTGGCAAAAACCCTGGCGCCGCTCCTGGCTGCCTGCACTCAGATTGTCCCACACAGAATCCTCTCACCCCACACCTGGATTCCCCCATACTGAGCCTCTCCACATTTGGATCCTGCCTGGTTGTGCCTGCCTGCCCCATACCTGATGCAGAGAAGCGGGGCCCCGGGATGCTCCTGGGGCAGGCCCAGGCCTTGTGCTGTGTCAGGGTCGGGTGCAGTCTCACCACTGAGTCTGTGTCCCTGGAGGAGTGGAGCTGCAGGGTGATCTCCCACCTTCAGCACGCCAGTGGCCTGTGCTCCCCACTGCCATGCTAGAGCCTCTGCATTTACTTATTGACAAATAAAACTTGCAGAATTTTTCATTTTTTGGCGCAGAATGCCCTCAGGACTACTGTTTGTATTCCAAACACGAGTGAGATTTCGGTATCAGTGTCTGTAGGCCTGCACGTGGCGCAGACGTGGTTATATGCGGCTGTGTGGGATGACACCACCTTAGTTTCTTCTTACCGTCCCATGGTCAAAGTCCGAATTCATATAGTTTTCTGTTATCTTCTACAGTTTGTTACTGTTAGTGTAGTTCATAGAATCATAGAATATCAGGGTTGGAAGGGACCTCAGGAGGTATCTAGTCCAACCTCCTGCTCAAAGCAGGACCTAATCCCAACTAAATAATCCTAGCCAGGGCTTTGTCAAGCCTGACCTTAAAAACCTCTAAGTTTGTCTCACCCTCTCCCGTTTGAGGCCTGGTCTCTTCCCCTCCTCTTCCCCCTCCCCCCCCTCCCATTTCTCTGGGGGATTATGCCCCATGTTCTGGGGTTCAAGAACTGTGCTTTGCCCTCGCTCATTCTCAGTGAGCAACGAGCACCACCCCCACCCTTGCTGCAAGATTTGCAGGTCCTTCCCGCCGTGGACTTGAAGCTTGTCTGCTCCGTCTCAGTAAGTTCCTCATGGAGGAGGCTCTCCAGCCGTGTGCATTGTCCGACCCGGGACTATCATTAATGGGCAGCAAGCAGTCTGGTACACACCTGCCTCCTGTGCCCCAATGCTCGAACAGGCAGAATCAGGTACTTTGCCCCCTGTAAGGGCAGACTTTGTCTTCTCCCACCCTCCCCTTCTTCGTTGGTGATACACATGGCACAATGCTTGAGACAGCACGCACATGGCTCTGCCCCTCCAGACAGGGCAGCCAAATGCCTGGATCTCCTGGGCCAGAAGGTATTCTCTTCCGTAGCATTTTAGTTTCACATTACTAACTACCAGGCTCTGCTGGCGAAGTATGACTTTACCAACTGTGCCAAGCTAGTAGAGTTCCTGGATAACTTGTCACCGGACAAATGACAACACTTCCAGGCCCTGGTACAAGAAGGTAGCCTGATGGCCAAGGTGACCCTCCAGATTTCAGTCAAAGCAGCGGACATGTCCTCCTGCTCCCTCACCACCAGAGGTAGTCATGCACCAGGAGTTGTGGCTACAATCCTCTGGCTTCCCATGGGAGGTCGAAGACCTCCCCTTCAACCAGGACAAGCTGTTCTTGTATAGGACTGATGAGTCCCTTCACTCCCTGAAGGACTTGAGGGCTATGCTTCAATGTCTTGAGAGATATGCCGCAGCAGAGGCAGCAATGACAACCCTTCCGGCCCCGGTCCTATGTGCCATACCAGACCCCTAGACCTGCTATCAGGACTCTCCCACAAAAGTACACAAGTCCCAGTGGCTTCAGCCACCTCTTCCTCCTTGCCTCGGCAACCCCCTCAGGCACAGTTTTGACACATACATCAAGACCTGCAAGTCCCCCACGTCACCATCCTTTGCCCCCTCTGTCACATTTGGGAGCCATCTTGCCCTTTTTGCTCCCAACTGGGGCAAGATCACCACGAACTGTTGGGTGTTGGAGCTCGTGTGGCACGGTTACTCTCAAGTTTCACACCTTCTTGCTGCACCTGCCCTTCAGACTCCTACAGGGGGTCCCTCCCATCACACCCTCCTACAACATGAGGCGCACACCTTCCTGGCCAAGGGTGTGATGGAACAGGTACTCAATCCCTTTGTTGGCAAGGGGTTCTACCTTCTGTACTTTCTTATCCCGAAGAAGGGCGGAGGGTTCCGCCCCATCCTCGATCTCCCCCTTCTCAACACCTTCATCAGCAAGACCAAGTTCCATATGGTGATGCTCACCTTGATCTTTCCTTCCCTTCTCCAGGGAGTCTGGTTTGCAGCTCTCAATATGACATATCAACATCTGCCCAGTCTACTGCAAATTTCTTTGCTTCCGTGTGGGCGTCAACCGCTAGCAGGTCAGAGTTCTCCCCTTCAGCATCGCAGTGGCGCAACGGGTATTCACAAAGGTATTTGCGGTCATGGCGGGACAGCTATAGTGTCTGGGTTAGTCAATGTTCCCATATCTGGATGATGTCTTCTTGTCGTGTCCTCCCATGCCAAGCTTTCAGCTGCGATTCATGGTCTTTGCTCTCTCCTCACTACTCTTGGAATTTGTATCAACGAGAAGAAATCAGCGCTTGTCCTAAACAGAGGATC